GTAGCAACAGTCAAGTCAGGGATGATTTAAATAAACTGGAATTATATAAATTCATTGTATAGGGCAGAATACATCTCATAGCACTGAGACTGCTAGCAGATGTCATTGCAAGACCACTTTCTATCACTTGCAAAAGCTCACAGTGATCGGGCGGGACCTGATGATTACAAAATGTTGCATCTATCTTAGAAAATGGGAGGAAGGACGATTGGGGCAAACACAGACTAGTTAGGTTTAGCTCAGCCCCTGGAAAAACTGTGGAAAAACCATTTCCTATTATGTGATGACAGGAATGTGATTATAGTCAGCTCAAATTTACCAAGGGCAACTTGTATTTAAACAAGCACAGTTAAGTTATCGGTCCTATGGATAGAGCGAGAGTAGTAGATATTGTTTTCCTTGATGTCAGCAAAGCTTTCCCATAGCATCCTTGTAGCCAAGGAGGTGAAATATAGGTTGGACAGAGTAGACTGCATAGTGGGTGAAGACCTGGCAAACTAAAATAAGTTTGCCTTAATAAGAAGAGTCTTATTGTCTTATTAAGAAGAGTCTTCTTCTTTAGAGATCTTTAAAACCTGCTTGGACGCAGCTCTGTGCCACGTGCTCTAGGTGACCCTGCCTGAGCAGGGGGGTTGGACTAGATGACCTTTGAGGTCCCTTCCAACATTAAGCATTCTATGATTCTATTAAAATGGTGTAGAACAACATTTTAAAGTCCAATTGGTAGTCGGCTACAAGTGGTGCTACCTGGCATCACTACTGGTGACCATACAACAAAACATTTTCATCTGTATTTGCATGATGAGACCTTTGCAAGCACATGTTCCAGGGGGTCTGCTAGAAGACAGAGCTACTATTCAAGGATAGCTGAGCATGCTGAAGGAGGGAACGTGTAAGTTCAAGGTTGAAGTTCAAAAAAGGCTTCCACACCTTGGACAATGTACTACTGCAGGAGAACAGGCTGGGCCTGGCTAGTTGTTCAACAAGAGAAGCCCTGGAAGGTCCCAGTAAACAACAAGGTCTGCAATGTGCCTGCGTGACAGTGAAGATGCAGCGCATCTTGGACTGCATCAACAAGAGCACAGCCAGCAGGTCAAAGGAAATGCAGGTCTCCTCTGCTCAACACATCATGTGGCCATCTCTGCAATACTGAGTTCAGTTTGCTCTCCTCCAAAGCAAAAGTGACACAGAACAGAATGAAGAGAAAGGTCAATAAGATGGCTGGGAGCTTTCAGTATATGACATCCATCCAAGAGGAGTTTGAGGAATGTGAGAGCACCAATATGCTCACCAACTGTATTGGGGCTTCACTACTAGAGCATTCTTGGCAGCATTCGTTGTGGTTATGTAATGCAAACGGATGCATTTTAGTAGTCCTGTGCAGAAGGCCTACGACCATATGCAATGACCACAGGCATATATTTGAGCACATTAATGTCACCACTGCAATATTTGACGATGTGGCAGAGCAAAGTTTGAACTGGATTCCCTAGAAACATGAAAAGAGAGCCAGAAGTTGCTACTGTGTCTATGCTGCAAGCAGAAACTCCCATGGCACTTATGTATTTCTGTGCATGACAAACTTAACACTTGCTCAGGGACCCTTGCACAGAAAAACTTTATACATCAAAGAACAAATTGGCATCCTACCCATGAATGATTTTCCATTTATAGCTGCAAAACCACTGCCAAAGAGGCCAAAACTAGTTTATAAAATATTTCTGCAGCTATAATTGTTTAGGACCACTGAACTGCATGTTCCAAACCAGATCAAAAGGAGCACCACAAACCCATGAAAGGCTTATGTGTAAAGACAGGGTAAATTCCACGTCTGGGATCCATCTGTAATTCTGTCAAACCAAGAGTCCTTGTAGCTGTATCCAAATTAAATGTCTGTCTGCCAAAATTAAGTGAACGGAGAACAAATACCTCATTATCACTTTTTTACTGTTTCTACCTTGTTTTCTTTGACTGCAAATATAAAATGTCCTCCCCTTTTACATTGTTGTCAAAATACAAATCAAATAAAGATTTATTTCAACACCAGACCTGAGGGTCTTTTTAGGCTACCATTTTATTCCAAACATAGCACAAAGGTATGCTATATTGTTTTGAGTTATTAGAGCTGATACAGCTGAAAAGATGCAGCTTAAACTCAACAGGATTTTGAGGAAATTAGGTATAACTTTCTTGAACAAGCTCAAGGCAAATATATCACTGATTTAAAATGTGCTGGAAATACAAAGATAGACTTTATTTGTAATCAAGTAAAGAAATTGCCAATGTACTTGGAATAAATAGGTGTAATGATCTACATTTATGGACTACTGATACATGCACTACTTGCAGTCTTACTTCCCTAAATAATTAGTATTTGTGCTTATTAATATTTAATATTACTTTTTCTTCTTAACAAATTGCTATTTCAATGACCACAAATCTCATCCTCAAAGTGAGAAAAGCTTCCTCTCTGTTGAAAGCACTGCTCAAAACAGTCAACAGGATTATGGCAAAAGGCAGGCACAGCTATATCCTTTAAAATAAACCTGGAAGATATATTTCCAGATCATTAAATTTTCCTACTGTTTGGTTTTGTTTTCAACAGCAAAAACAAACAAACAAACAAACAGAAAACCCTTAACTCCAGTAGGCATATGCCATTATCTGGAGAAATTTTCTCAAAATTTCACAATCCTGATTAGGCATAGCCAAAGAGCAAGATTTCTAACAAACAAACAAACACTTTGGCCTTCTTATTGCTTTATCTGATATATACAAATAATTAGCTTTCTCAAAAGTATTTTCTGTAAACCAGGGGCCCTTTGTGACTCAGGAAAGTGAATGGATTAGTTGGGTTTCTGGGCAAGTAGCATGGAAGGTTTGTGGGAGAGAAACTTTTTAAGCCAACTGATGTAGCTTCAAAAGGCACATTCTGGGACGCCAAGGGTTGAAACTGTGCCTGGAAACTTGACCTTTATAGCAGTTGGCCTAATCTAATAAAAGACATTACCTCTCCCTAGCAGCCCTGCTTTGTTTATGGGCACGCTGGGCTGGTATTATAGCACTACTATTATCAGCAGGGAATGCCAACTGCCAGGCTCTCCCGGTGCCCGGACAGGAAGCGCTGCCAGCGCTTGGAGCCACTGTCCAAAAATACCCTCGCTGAGGGATCCCGGCCTTGGGCGGCCGCACAGTGCGCGCTCTCTAACGCCCTTTTGCCGCCCGAGGTGGCCGGTGCCGGCGCGGCTGGCGGGGCCAGGCCGCGCCGGCGCCCGAGCAACCGTTAACGGCCCCCACGGGACGGCGGCGACGGCGCGCGGGAGCTGCGGCGCGCGCCTCACGCGGAGACGCGGTAAAAGCCACATAGGAAGAGGAAAATATATATATATATATGTATGTATGTATGTATCTCAAGTAAGACGCTTTTAAAAGCTGCCTCAGAATTAACGCGAAAGGAGGGAGCGGCGCCCCCGGCGGCCCGGGCTAATCGCTGTTGCGCAGCGCCCCCTGCGGGCAGGCGCGGCCCCCGCCCGCCGTGTCGCCGCCGCCGCCGCGGCCGTGGCGGGCGCTGCCGGGCCGGCTGAGGCGAGGCGCCGCAGCGGGAGCGGGGGGGCGGCTTTGCACGCGCTGCGGATCCCATTAGTGATAGCGCCGGGGATATAAAACGGCTTCTTGTCATTTCTGCGCTGAGAGCTAAGTGCGTGCGTGGGGAGGAAGCCCCCAGATGTGCGGGCGCCCTGCAGCCCGCGTTGCGGCCGCCTCTGCGCCGGCCGCGGTGTTTCCGCGGAGGCGGCGCGGGGGCAGAGCGTGACTGCGAGAAGGAAACAACAACAAAAGAAGGCAGCCAGGCTCGCCTCGCGCCCTTCAGAGAGCGAGAAATGACGGCCGAGGCCGGGCAGGGACCGGGAGACACAATAGGCGCGGGAGCGCGGCACGTTGTTTGGGTAAACAGCGGACGTATAAATAAACGGGCTTTGAAATGCTGCGTTTGAGGGCGGGCGGGTGTGTTTTGGGGCGGGGGGGGGGAAGGTGCTTTCATCAAAGCCTGGGGGAAGATAAAGCCGTGGCCCGGCGTGCCCCGATCATGGCGGCGGCTGCGGCTCCCCGCCCCCCGCCGGCTCCAGACGCAGCGTCTCGGCCCGCCAAGAGAGTGACCTTTCCCGGAGCGGCCGCGAGGCAGCGGCGCGCGGGGAGGGGGATGGCGACGAGGACGGCGCGCCGAGGAATTCCCGCCCTGCCCGCCTGGCCGCGCGCCGCCGCATGCAAATGAGCCCCTCCTCATTGGCCGCCCTTGGAAAACGCGCCCTTTGATTGGCCGCTGGGAAACGTTAACGCAAAGGAGAGACTCCCCCCTCCGCCCTCGCCGTGTCCTCGCCGCTGCGTGCGAGCGCCGCAGACAGGCTGTAACGCTGCGCCCCGGTTACTACAAATAAGTAGTTCCCGGCCTCCGCCCCTCCCCTGCCCGCCCGCCCGTGTTTACGGTAGGGAGGGAGAGAGGGCGGGCGCAGGGCCGGCCCCGCCAGCCCCACGGCGGGCGCCGCTGCGGCGCGGGGGGGGGCGGCGGCAGCGAGGGGTGTTCCCCACTCCCCCGCGGAGGGATATCCTGCGCGCGCTGCCCTCCGCGCACCAAAACATTGCGAGTTAAGAGGCGGCTCCGCGGCGCCGGCGGCTCAGAAGCGAGCGGGCAGCGGCGCGGCGCGGATCCCTGCGCCCGCCGGCGGCTCCACTGCGGCTCCCCGCGCGCGTCGGAGCAGAGCGGGTCGCCGCGCGCGTGCATGCTCCTCGGCAACTGCTCCTTCCTCCTGCCTGCCGACCCCTCCTGCACACGGATCCCGCGTTGTTCCCGCTTGGATTCTCTTGGATCTTTCGGGAAGTGCCCGTCGGTTGTTGCTGCTGCGGCGCCCAGAGGAGCCGGCGCGCGAGGGAGCTGCGCGGCGGTTGCCGGCGCGGAGGCTGCGGCTGCGAGCGAGCGCCGTCCCGGCGGCACCTCGGCGCGGGGGCTCCGGCGGGCCCCCCCTGCGGAAGATGTTGCTCTCCAAGTTCGGCTCGCTCGCCCACATCTGCAGCCCCGCCAGCATGGATCACTTGCCGGTGAAGATCCTGCAGCCAGGTACGGCGCGGCGGCAACTTGCTTTAGCGAGGGGTTCTTCTTTATGTGTATATATGTGCATCTGTACAAATTGCCTGGGACAGAATTAGGGCAGCACAGACGATACGTGCCCAGACATTTTTTAATTTTTTTGAGGATATTTTCGGG